CGGCGGCTGCACCGGCGGCGGCGGCACCACACAAACAAGGACGCTGATTGGGCAGCTGCCAAGCGCCTCGGCTCCGCCTTCCCCACACGCCACGACGCCCATTGGGCGACCTAAGCCGGCCTCCCCGCCCTCTTCTTCTTGGCCATGCCAATAAGAGAGGGGATGCCGGGACTACACCCCACCCTTGAAGAGTGAGTGGCTGGAGAAGTGATGATTGGCGTACTTCAGACCCAATTCTAAACGGAGGAGGGGGATGGTCTAGCGGGGGCGCGTTAATGGGTACCTCGGCCAGTCCCAGACACATCCGGGTCTTCAGCAGCCCATTAAGTGTCGGGGGTCAAAAAATCGCTTCAGGCTGCAACTTTACCTTAGAGACGTTTTGGTCCCCAGGCAGCCGCCGTACCCCAGTATCCCCAAACCGGGATTCCCCTTTGGCCAGTTCTCATTCTTCCAATTCTAAAGATGGAGACTGGAGGACGGCGCTGGGCTCTGCGTTAGGTGGGGTTTCATCGCGACAGAATCCAGGAATTTCACGATAGAAATAGCTTTAGGCGCCTGGGCCTTGCTGGCTGTTTGGGGCGTGGCCTGTCTCCGTCTGCCAAAGGCCTTGAGCTTCCTGGTCTCCATCGTACCCCAGCATGGTCCTGTCGTGACTAAACCACGACAGCAGAAGAAAAGGCAGCTAGCCAAGTTGCTGAGAAATTACAGTGTGCAGAGCACTCCTACTCCTCTACGGGATCTCCTGGTCTGGTTGGGTTCACAGTGAAAGAAACAGCCTCCCATCCCACCCCACTCCATCTAATTAACTCAAGGCCCAACTCCTCTTGCTAGCCTCCCTACTTCCCCGAAGCAGTTAGGTGCACCTAAACTCTCACAGCGTTTCTGGGGCACTGACCACAAGTATTGTTCTTGAGCACCTCGAGGATAGGGACCAGGTATCACAGAGCGTGTTGAGGGAATTACAATAGTTAATGTTTGGGGCAAGACTGCGAGGCACTCTGCTATATGTTATTTATTCTTGTAAGAGCTTTACATGGATTATCTTATTGATTCCTCCTAACTGTGGAGTCGTTACTGTTCTCCGCGTTTTACACACATGAGGAAAATGAGGTACAGATCAAATGACTTTGCCCAAAGTTACACATGATACGTGGCAGAACTGTAATATGAACTCAGGTAGATCAAGAAACAGGCTCAGAGACGTTAAGTAACTTGCAAAGGTCAGACAGCTAATTAGTGACTAAGCAGTGGTTTGAACCCAGAAACAACTGGTTCCAGAAGCCCTAGAACGTGTTTTTCAAATCGTTTGGAAGCCATGCTGTGCAATGGAAACGAAACTCATAAAGGACGTGGCTACGTAAAGCCATAGGGAGACCCTGCACACACATGCGGAGGCATGCCCCAGTTCTTGTTAAGTGTGTAAAAAAAAAAAAAAAAAAAAGCCTGTTTCATTCCAGTATCACGTCCAGTTAAAGAACATGGTCTCTGGAGTCAGACTGCCTGGGTTTGGATCTTGGCTTTACCTCTTCCCAGTTGTGTGATTTGGGTGCAAGTTACTTAACCTCTATTCTCTGTGCCCTACTTTCCCTATCGGTGAAATAGGAATGAGCGATAAGAGTACCTAGCTCATAGGGTAATTGTGAGGATTATCAAACAGCCCATTTAAAATGCTCAGGACAGTGCCAAGGATAGTAAGTACTCGATAAACATAATTGTCACTGTTATGAGTTTTCCAAACTTGCCCAACAGTTTCACCCCCTTAGTTCTAAAGTCAGCTTCTGTTGGTATTGTACCTCGAGGAGCTGTCTTGTGTTAACACTGAAAATCAGTTCTCTACTAACCCCTCATTTTCATGCTTTCACTGACTCATTGAACACACATGTTAGAGGGCCTATTATGTTATCAGGCACTCGTCTGTGAGCTGGGGCATAACAGTAAATGAGAGGAAGTCACTGCCCTCGTGGAAGGTCCAACCCTCCTTCCCTAGCCTGCTGCTTTGCCCATCATCAGTCCAGTTTCTCTGCTGTCTGAACAGCCACTCTTCAGTGGCTACGAGGAGACCCGAGAAACACGGTGGTGGGAGATACCAGCCCCAGGAAGGTGTCAGTGAGGCCTGAGAAAATGCCTTTCAACAAAATTAAAGCGGGGCCGTGGAAGGAGCCTTTCAACCTGGCGTGACTGAGCTCCAAGGAAGACAAGCGAGGCCATCGTGGTAGTGGATGTGACCGTGGTCCTACACAGTCTCTACGTGCTTGTTCGTCTTCTTTCTGAAGCTCACATTGATTGCGTGTGCTTCGCATTTTATACGGAGTATGTAACCTTTAAACAAACTCCCCAGTTTGCAGATGAGGAAAAACTGAGGCACAGGTGTTGTGAAATTGGAAGTGACAGGAGACAAGATTTACCTAAAATTTGTCATGCTCCAGCCTGGACATGCAAAAGTCTGTGAAGAGAAATGGGGCCAGGTAATCTGTGCATAGCCTTCCCCTCATACAGCTCCCTCCCTGGGCCACAGGGCAGAGGGATGTCAGATGCCATGGTGAGTCCTTTGCTGCTGAAATTCCCAGATACTCTTCTGATTAAAGAATTCTGTAGTTCTGCCTCTCTTATAGACCTCTAGAAGGAAGTCCCAAGATGGAAACAGAAGCTGGGAGCATGGCTGATTATCATTATTATTCATGTACCAAGAGGTTCTCTAGCCCAGTAAGGCTGTGGTCTATGAAGGTTGCGACCGAGCCCCAACATTCCAGCTCTAGATGGTTTCGCGTATTGCTGGGTACACTACTCGGCAGAAACAGCGGATTTCAGGAAGGCAGTGGCTCTTGCAGGTCCTTAGGGATGAAACAGGGAGGGGCTGATGCCAGGGAATGCGGCCTGACCAGAACCTGGGGTGACATGAGGGTCCCCCTCTGACGAAGGCATCGCCTAATCCCTGGCAAAACAGGTGGCATTTCCAAAACCCCTGCTTCCCTCCTGTGCAGCTCCTCAGGGACACTGGAAAAGTGTCCAACCATGCTCCAGACCGGGCGGTGAAGGGCCCTAGGGTGTGAAGATCCCCGAGTTCAGAAGTAGTACCTCTCTCCGTCCTGCCCTCACCCCCAGCGATGGGCACTAAAGGCTCCTGGAGGTTGTTTCTTCCATTGACCCGCCTGTCCCCCTCCCCAGGCATTTTGTTTTGTTGGCCAGTTCCCTTTGGTAATTGGTTTTGCAGCTCTGTTAGTTGTTTCCTGTATCTATTTCATTAGACAGGAAAGAAGGGAGAACTCCGAGTGGGCAAAAGGGATGAGGAGAGTGACGGCTGTCCCCTTGATGTGCACATGCAGTGAGCCCCTTTATCCTTGTCCCCATCTTCCTGGTGCTGTCCCCAGGCTCAGACCCTGGTTGGAAGAGTATCGACTGCAACGAGGGCAGCCAAGGAGACCTAAGATGACGGCCAGGGCCCCCCCGCCGCGTGAGGGCCACCACCACCACCTACTGGGAGAGAGGGCTGTCATCCTGTGGAGGTACTGGAGAAGCTGGGAGGGGGCAGCCAGGGAGAGGAAAGAAGGCAGAGATGAGCTCAGGGCCCCCAGAGAATGGAGGCTTTGTGTGGGGTACAGATGAGGGACAAGGGGGTGATTGTATGGGAGGGCCGGAAGTGCCACACAGACTGGCACTGCCATAGCCAGCACCGGATCGATTCACCCCTCTCCTGCTCCCAGAACTCCCTGTGCCTCAAGGGACCAGTAGCTGACCTGGTCGGGGAAAGCAGGGTGTGCCTGAAGGCTGCACAGGATGGAAAGGTGGAAGGCAGGATGTGTAACCAGAGGAAAAAGAGGAATCCCCCACCATTACCCCAGGCCCAGGAAACAGGAGACCGAAGGAAAAAGACAGAAGCAGCTTTTACTCTATTTACATCCAACCAAACTTCGCGAGGAATCGTCCTTATTGCACAGTCAGGGCCCTGGGTGGCCGAGGCGTTCCACGGTGGAGGGAGGGGCAGGAAGGATGAGCACTAGAGGGGGCACCGGTTCTTCCTAGGGGGAGCGCAGGACTCCCCTAGCTCCCACCTCCTGACTTTCAAGGGGCCGTGCGTGGTGCCCCATTTCCCTTCTCTTTCTCACCATCCAGAAGAACCTCAAAAGCAAGGGAGCTGTGGCTCCGAATAAATAACTTAAAATAAAAGACAAACGCTAAGGTAGAAAGGCATGGGGAGCCTTGGACTCCTTCAGCAATTCCCGGGGAGAGGGACCGCCCTCGGCAGGGAATGGCATCCCTCCCTCCCATTCAGGGCGACGGCTCAGACACTCTGTAGCTTTCCAGTTGTTTTTTAAAACAAAAACTTATAAAATGACCAGGGCAGTGCAGGTCTGTGGGTACCCTGGAGAGGAGTGCCTGGGATGGGGCGGGGAGGGACGGGGCTGTGCCAGCTGCCCCCAGGCCTCCTCCAGTGTCAGCATGAGCATATTGGACAGGCTAGAAACAGGGAGTGGGGGCTTTCGGTAATGGTGGGTCCTTCTTCCGGTTGCCCCCACAGGGAACCTGTGGCCGGGCGCGCTTCCCAGCCCGTTCCCAACTCCTCAACGAGAGGAACAGGGAAGCAGGTTATCGCTTGAATCCTTCTTCCCTCACCTCCCATCCCAGGCTGGAGAGGGAAGCTTTAAGGGTCCCTAGCATTCCAGAGGTGCTCCAAAATATTTTCGGCAGTCAATGGCCTTTGGGGTGGGCATCTGTGCCCGCCGATGCCTCAGCTCTTCCTTGCCCATGCTGCTGGCCAACTTGTTAAAGGCAGACTTGTACCTCTTGTCGAAGTTCACTAGGGAAGAAGGTGGCGGGAGGTCGATACATGAGGATGCCACCTCCCACACCTGGCCCCAGATCCCTGAACGCCTCAGCCCGCTGCTGGCCCTTCACCTATGTCCTTGTGGTCCTTGCCCATAACAGCCATTGTCAGGAATAAGAGCTCACGGTAGATGCCCCTAGAGTGGAGACAGAGGGCTTGAGCGAGAGAAAGGGGGTACAGGGCCCGGCACAGGCCAGCGACCTCCCACATGGGAGCCCCATACCTCTGGAGGTGCAGGCCAGTGGGAGGGGACTCCAGAGTTTCCAGCAGGAGCCCTATAGCCTTGTGCACCTCACTGAGACCGACATGGCGTAGCACCGACTCCAGCAAACCCAGGTTCAGGGACTCAGGTGCCGGGCCCGGCCATGCCACCCGCTGGGGTGTCTGGCCTGCGTGAAAGAAAGGAAGATAGCCAGGATGACAGCCCTCTGGGCATGGGACCCACCTGTCCCCACCCTAGGGAACAGCAGACTCACTGTGGGTCCTCCAGAGCACATAGAGAGGTGGGCAGCTGTTGGGGTCAGGGGTCAGGACATCCCACAGCAGCCGCACCTGCACAGACGCTGGGTCAGGCGTGAGCCAAGGAGATGGGGCCTGCGGGGGCCAAGATAAGGGAGACAGTGAGGCCCACGGAGGACACGACGTGGACAGGCTCCCAGAGACTGAGGGACATTACAGGACACAGCCAAAGAGAAGAGGGACAGGAACTCTGATCCCTCAGGAGCATGTAAGCTCTTTGGGAGCAAGGACCTTGTTTTGTAACCTGCCATACTCCTAGTGCCTAAAAGCCGTGCCTGGAGCCTAGTAGCTGCTCGGTAGATACCGGTGGGCTGAGCAGACGAACAATAGCCAGTCACCGTCTGGGCTCCAGGCACCACCCAAGGAGCCTAACAACAGCCCTGCGAGGGGAGCACTCGTGCCATTTTACAGGTGAGAAAATCGAGGTTCAGTGGTGAAGTGAAAGGGCCAGGAGTCACACCGGTACACCTGACTCCAAAGCCTGTGCTCTTGGTACCGCAACAAGGACACAGAGGCCCAGGAGAGAGGAGGGGAGCCCTCAGAAGCAGGGACCACACGAGGGCACTGACCTGGGGGGGCGGGGGCCCATTGCAGGAGGCCAGCAACAGGCATGGCAGAATGCTGGGCAGGCGCAGCCGCTGGAAATACCACAGAAGGTTCCAGAAGATGATGGGGTGGGCAGCAGGCAGCTCCGGCAACGCCAGCACCTCACTGCCCTCGTTCTCTACCAACGACTCCAGTTCCTTCCGCAGCACCAGGGGGCTCAGGTATGCCCATGCCCCATCCTGCACCTGCCGGGAGGCACCCTGTCGGGCACAGGTGGGGAGGGCAATGGAAGGCATGTGCCATGGCCCGTCCTCAGAGCCATGCTTTCTTCCCACTGAGCCACACGTCCGACACCTTGCCCATCTCCCCCCAGCACCTCCAGCCCCCTCCCAGGGCAACACATACACACACACGCCCATTCCTCATGCCCCTTTGGCCCAGCCCTTACCCCCATGTGCCCATTGCACAGCTGGGGCTCATCCAGGGCGAGGCAGGACCTGCGGTCACTGAGCACAGGGCCTGGGCCCCCAGGGACAGGGGCATCTTTGCTGCCGCTGGCACGAGCTGGGGCTGGGCTGGGGGCGCTGCAGGGGGGAAGCAGGCGGGGTCAGCCCTCGGACCTCCACCCCCTTCCCACCCCCAGCACGTTGCCCTGCTTTGGCACCTGGGTCGGGAGTCAAAGGTCTGGACACTGAGCAGGGGCACAAAGGAGCACTTGCAGAAGGGGCAGGTGGTGTTGAGGTTGGAGTCGTCAGGTGCCCAGCCGGCCATAATGTCCTCGTCGTATACCAGCGAGTCACAGTTGCGGCACAGGGAGCAGCTAGACAGCAGAACCTGCAGCAGGAAGAGCCCAGGAAGCAAGCCCGGCCTGGTCTCCTTCCTGAGCCCCGTCCACCTCCAAACCCCAGCCCCGCCCTCTCCGCCTCTCCGGCTGGGCCTGGGACCCAGTGGACGGGTGTGTGCATGTGTGTGCTTAGACACATCTGTGTGGCAGGGGGCGTGCTCACTTCCAGGGAAGGTGTCTGGGAGGATCCGGGTGGGTCACTGAGGCGCTCTGAGGACCGGCGAAGGCTCAGGCTGCTGACAGAGGATTCTGAGAGGTCCCACTCACTGCCCAGGGAGGCTGAGCTCTGCCATCACAGGAGAGAGCGTGGGCCTTGTCACCAGGATGCCAGCTTCAGCCACCCCTCAGGGCCCTCCCTGGCACTCCCCCCCCCGGCCTCGCGGTGCTGAAGTGTCTCGCTGGCTACCTCGGAGGCAGTGGATCCAGGCCGCTCTCGGGGGTGCAGAAGGCTGTCCAGGGGGCTGCCGCGGGCTGGGGGAGGCAGGTCAGCAGGCAGCTCAGGCGGGGGAACTCGAGAGGCAGGGGAGCGGCGGGAAGGGGTGAGCAGCTGTTGGAGGCGGGCACCCAGCCCTCGTCGGGGGGTACTGGCCTCATCCTGCCGCCCACCAGCCTTGGGCAGCCGGCCACTTGGCCATTCCAGGGCTTCAGAGGACTGGGTGCTCAGAGCTGAGCCTGAGTCCCCTGGGCTGCCTCCAGGTGCAGGCTCCTCCCCAGTCAGGCTCAGGTCAGAGAGGCTTCCATTGTGCCAGGGCACAGGCGATCCCCGGGGCTCCAGTACCCCCAAGGCCTCGATCACTGCGGGGCAGAAAAGACTTAGGGAAGATGGAGCCCAGCCCCTCCTCCAGACATTGAGTAACGCGGTTCCTGGCTGCACAAACTCTGGCACCACAACCCCCACCATGATGGCATTCTGGGCAAGATTCCCTCAGCGTCTGCAGTCCCCACCACAGAGGGCCACCCCTCCATCCTGGCTCCAGTCTTCCCCTCTCTCACTGGCAAGTGGTTAGGAAAGCTGACTGAGCTGTGGGTCGGACGAGGGCACTCACTGTGGGCCACGCCAGCCTCCACAGTGGGCTGTGCCCCTCGGGCACTGCCCAGGCTGCCGCTCTTCACCAGGCGCCCCGTGGGTGAGGCCGGGTCCCGCAGGCTTCGGCCAGCCCAAGTAGTCTGGCGCTGAAGGGGGCGGGTAGGGGAGGGGCGCTCCAGATAGGGCTCTGCAAAGGCCAGGGAGGGGCTGAAAGGCAGCCAGGCCGAAACCCAGCCCCTATTCCAAAACAGAGCTCCTTGCATGGCCCTGGGTGAGTCGGGTTCCTTTCCCGCACCACTTCGCCTCTCTCGTTACCAGCCAAGTGTAGCGTATCCATCCCCAGAACAGCCAGTGCCAAACACTAGGCCAGCCCCAGCTCCCCACGCCTCTCCCTGCCTGAACCCCAAGCCTGTGCCACCAAGCCTTGCCCACCTGTCTGGGAGCTGCCCGCCTCTTGTGCTGCCGCCTGCTGCTGCTGTTGCCGCTGCTGCTGCTGCTGCTGCTGCTGCTGCCGCCACCGTTCTCTCAAGGGCTGGCGGAACTGGGCAGCCCCCAGGACGACGTTCCGGAGCTTGGCCCACCGCAGGCGCCCACCAGGTGTACCAGACGGCCACTTGCTTTCCAGCACAGCCTGCCAAGCACAGGGCCCATCGAGATGGCCTACTTCCACACCCTGACCCCAGCCTGCACCCGCTGCCTGTGCTGGGGCCCCAGGCACAACCTTCCCCTCCAGACCTCCTGCTTTTGACCATCCTGCCAATGGCTCAGTCTGGAGCGAAAGCCCAGAAGAGGCCATTGGCTGGCAGCGGTCACCTCTGCAGGGATCTGGAGGTAGCCAAAAGCAGGGGAGCTCATTTGTATCCAGACTCTGCTACTTATAAACTACGTGGCTTGGAAGAAACCATTTCACTTTTTTGGTCATTAGTTTCCTCACCTAAAAAACAGGAGGGGGTTGAGTGTCACGGTTAAGGGCCTGAACTCAAGCGACGTCGCTACGCCTGTGTTCGTATCTTCCTAGCTTCACACTGTGCGACCCTGGCCAAGTCACTGACTCTGCAACCTCATCGCCTCATCTGTAAGATGGGGATGAGAATCCTTCCACCGGCTGGGGCCGTGGTAAAGATAGAATGATGTAAGAGGTATCTGGGCACACCAGCTAACTGTCAGCTATGACTGGGAGGTGGCAATACCTGCCCACCCCCTGTGAGGGCTGCTGCGAGAATCGGAGCAGCCGAGCGTGAGAAAACCTGCTGCAGGTGCTAAGACGGCACAGGAACACACAGGTGACAGTGCTTCTAGGACCTGGCTGGGCCGTACGGCCTGATCTCCAAAAAGGGGCAGGCAGCGGGTGTCAAGACAGCAGCACCCTCCCACACACAGCTGGCACAGGCCCGCCCTCGCTCCCAATTCGGTACCTTGTTGTAGTAGCCATAGGTGATGGTGTTGGGCACGATGCCCGCCTGCCGCATGTCCAGCATGACCCGCACAGACAGCACAGGCTGCCCGTAGTGCGAGCACAGCTGCATAAGCATCCGGTAGCACACCTGGGCCGAGAGAGGCGCAGGCTGAGGGCACGAGTCTCCGCGGGCACCCCCTGCAGCCCTCCCCATGCCCTCCCGGCTCTCACAGGCTTGGCTGGGCCCCGCTGATCCCGTCACCCTCCAGTCCTTGCGGCTGTCCCCCATCACACTCGTGTGTTCGGTGGGTGTTCTGGAGTGCTCCCCATCTGCCTCCCCTGGTCTCCAGTGAGTGTCCCCCTCTCACGGCCCCCATGGCGGCAAAAGCCCCCCAAGAACACGCGTGAGTGCCCACCTCGTCAGGCCGCACCACCTTGTTGCTCTCCATCTGGCGCAGCACGTGGTAGGCCGTGTGCAGCGCCTGCACCCGAGAGGGTGCTGACCGCACATAGGCAGGCAGACACAGGAACCACAGCCCGTAGCAGTGCCCCAGCAGGCACCGGGCCCAAAGCTCTGGCACAGTCGCCGACTTCTGTGCCATCTGCTGTGCGACCTTCATCTCCTAGGTGGGGCAGGGGACACGCCTGGGTGAGGACAACGCCGGGGCGGGGGAGGGGGGGGTCTTAAAATGGTGTGGGAGAAGCAGCCCCCTCCCTGAGAAAGGAGCTGTGACTAGAGGGTGCAGGAGGGGTGCTGCCTAAGCAGCTTCAGCCCCGGAGCCCCGGGCAGGTGCCCTGGAAGAGGCAACACAGCCCTGAATCCCCAGAGTGCTCAGAGGACGAGGACGATGATGACAGTAGTGCAACAGCCAACATTTCCTGTGCCAGGCACATGTAAAGCTCCTAACAACCTTACGGGATAGGTACCGTTATACCCATTTGATAGACGAAAAAGCTGAAGCAGCAGCCCTCGGCCGAGCCAGGCGCCTCTGTGGGGCCCACCTGCTGGTTACCTGTTTGGTACGGCGAGGGGCAGGACTGCTGGGGGCACTACGGGACGGGCCCGGCACAGGAAGAGCCCCGGCTTGCTCTTGGGGAGACTCAAACAGCTCAGCCCGTAGCTCGGGGAACCCATCATAGCTGGAGGGCGGAGAGGCCACGTCAGGAGCCGCCGGCACTAAGTTGCCTGTGTGGCCTTGGGACCAGTGAGGGCACAAGAGGCTCTCACCAGTACTGGGGAGAGGGTTCGCTGCCCTCTGGCACTGGGGGCTCCTCAGGAGGCGTGATAAAGACGGTGAGCTCGCTTCCCGACAGCTCTTCCAGCTCCACCAAGGTGGTGGATTCCGGCTTATCCTGCTCTGGGTGGACCTGAGGGCGGATGGAAGGAGCATGAGCACCAGCACAGTGGGCACGGAGCAGGGCCAGGGTGCCCGGAAGGTGGCATCTCCCCAGAAAGCACATCCCTGGGGCAGGAGCACGTGGGCCCTGGAGACACTGTGGGGATGGAGTCGGGAGGGAGAGGTGTGGTGCATATGAAGCCAGCCAGGTGTGGCTGCACAGGTCATGCTGTGCAGAACCCCAGGGGTACCATCCCCATCACGGATAAGATGGAAAGTTGTGCTTATAACAGCCCCAGGGTTAGAGAGACAGCCCGGAGGAGAGCAGAGGGCAGTGGGCGCGAAGCGAAGGGACAATGCCCAAAACCTTGTCGACGCAAGAGTCAAAGAATTCGAGGGCGGCGTGCCGGGCTGAGCCAAAGGAGCATTCCTCGATGAACTGCGAAAACATCTGCGTGTGCAGCAGTTGAGAGTACAGCTTGTAGCTGGAGCGCTCCCGGGATTTGAGGAAGCCTGAGGGGGTGAGAATGGCCGGGGTGAAGGCTGCCAGACTTTGCTATCAGAGCCACCCGCTATCGGAACCCCTTCCCTGGCTCCATGCCCACTGGCATCCTGGGCCATCAAAGTATCATCCCCTGGCCCCTGTGCCCAACTACCCCCACACCAAGCCGACCGGCTCAGCTCCATGACCCATGGAATTCCTGGCATCTGTCTGTAGACATGCCCTCAGACCAGGCCTTCTCCAAGGCTAGTGACCCCGAAGAGAGCTCTGCCCGTCGGGGTGGCTCACCGCAGGCGTCGCTGTGCCCAACCCCAGCCGGGGCTCCTAGGCCACGGCCGTTTCATCTTTGTACCCTCACTCCCTCTGAGCCCAGAAGAGTGTATGGCTCAAAGCTGGCACCCATAAAAACATTTGCTGAGTGAAGGAACAAGCAACTGAGTGGTCCCCAGGCCCTCCCGGTCAGCCGTCCCGTGACACCCTCCCCAAGAAGAGAAGAGACAGGCCCTCCTTACCTTGCAGGAAGAAGAGGTTGTCGACATCCCGAGAGCCCTCAGAGGGAGCCTTGGTGAGCGGGCGCAGGAAGTCCCGGTAGCCCTTCAGCAGACAGGCCATGAAGCGGAGGAAGGCCCCCTGGACTTCGCGCTCCAACCGGGCCCGGCGGCCGCACACGGCCTCGTAGTCGGTCAGCAGGAACTCTAAGGATGCCTCCTCCTCGGGCCCGGTGTATGCTGGGAACCAGGGCGGCCTGAGACTCAGGGCTGGCCCCCCAGGGGCTTGCCCCAACCCTACCTGCACACAGGTCTGCACCACGGGCCTGACCACCTCCCGTTGCTAACTGACCTTGTACCAGTATTAACAGACAGACGGATGGACGCTACCCTTAGCTGACAGTTTCAAGCCTCCCCAGGAACAGGCTGGACCTTCCCAACATACTGAGGGGTATTCATACTGTATGCCGCTCCCTCCTGCTCGCACTGGGATTTGAATTCCCCTCACTCCCACCACACGGAGCCCTAACTCCTCTAACCTCCTCAAGGTAATACGGTCTAGCTCTCCACAGGCTCCTCACACTGGAGGTTTAAGGTCAATGACAGCTCCCAGCCCCCCACCCAAGCTTCTCACTCTGATCGAGCTGCTGGTACAGGTTTGTCAGTGTAGACAGAAGGACCTTGTAGGGCTTGCGGGGCAGGTTCCGAGGGGAGAGGGGCTTCTTTTCCTCCGTCCTGTGAGGGGAACAGAAGGGAGGGGCCGTGGGGCTCCCCACCAGCCTCCCCCATCTTTTGCCAGAGGCTCCTTTAGAGCAAACAGCTCCCCATACACCGCCCTCAGGCCCCCTCCCGGCAGCCCCCTTGAGGGAGAAGGACCCGCTTACTGGAAGAGCGTGTTGGTGTCTAGATCAACACAGATGACATCAGTAGGGGGGTCGTGCAGATCGAAGTAGCTGGAGTGGATACCCACGATGAAGGGCACGGGGGCACTGAGCACGTCGGCCAGCACCAGTGGGCACAGCGGAATGTAGGGGCACTGCCAGTGCAGCGGGAAGATCATCTGGGGCACCAGGAGTGGGGACCCATGAGCACAGGGGGCTGAGGCAGCAGTGGGGGCATGCAGGAGGGGAGGGGTCATTGGCCTTGGGTGGGGGGGGTGCCTGCTGGAGGCGGGCTCCAAAGAGCCCAGGACGGATGCTGTATGTCCCTGTAGGCTATGTCCAGGGAGAAGGCTGGGGGACCCTCCCCAGGGGTGGGGGCACCCAAAAGAACATCCTGGGGGAGGCGGGCTGGGCAGGGGGGGCACTCACAGAGACAAGGGCCTCGCAGACGCTGGTGAGCAGGTCTGGCCGCAGCGAGTGGACTAGCAGTTTGTGTTCTGTGAGCACGGACAGCAGCAGCGTGATGGCCAGCTCAGGGCCCAGACTCTGCAGCAGCTGTAGGAAGCTGGCACCACTGCGGGCAAAGCCGAGGTGGGGAGTGGGTCACCAGGAGACCCTTCCCTAGTCACTGGGCACAGCCCTCAACAGCTATGCCCCCCTGCCCGGCACCTACAGTGTCTTTGGTCACCAAAGCTCCCCCGACTTGGGCACCTACCTGAGGGGCAGGGGTGAGGACACAGGCTGGCAGAGGAGCAGGTTGTCATAGGGAGACATCTGGGAGGAAGAAGAGCCAGGGGTCAGGATGACGAGGCTGGCCCCTGCCAACTGCCCTCCTCCCACTGAGCCCCACCCAACCTGGCCTCAGCCCTCACCTGAACCAGGATTCGGGGTCTCTGTGGGGAAGGGAAGGGGACGTTGTGAATGAAGTGGGAGATGTGCCTGGGGAAGAGAGGGATACCGGTCAGAGGTAGACTCCCCAGTCTATCCCTCGTCAACTGCCACATTTGCTCTCCTCAATCACCTGCCCCAAGAACTTTCATCTTCCCCAACCTCTGCCTCCCGACCTGTGTCAGCCATCAGAGCCAATAGAATTTGTGCAGATCAGCGGAGAGATCCCCTCTGAGCGCGCACAGCCCCTTGCCAGGACTTAGCTAGCAAGTGTAGCCTGGATTTCAGACCCCACTGTCCCCCTGGGCCAGTGGCACTTTAGCAACGGACAAACTACAACCGCCCCCCCCCCCCCCCGCCCCTACCCGGCTCCATTCTAGCGTCTTCCATCTCTCCTGGCCTCCCGATCTGTGACCCCTCCCCCGGCCTATGACCCCGCCCCATGTCGGGGCGCCGTGCTCACGCTTCCAAGGGCAGGCGGTGGGGGCCTGAGACCGAATAGCGGTAGAGGAAGGTGAGGAAGGCGCGGAAAGCGGGGAAGGCAGGCCAGCGGGACAGCACGGCAATGGCGCGCCGCGTGCGCACCGCTCGGCCCCCCAGGGCCCGGCCCCGCTCCACAGCGCTCAGCAAGCCCAGGGCCCGCGCCTGCCGCTCAGACAGCCTGTCCCTCAGGAACGCCTCGTAGAACTGCAGGGCGGCACCATACACCTGGTGGGGGCAGAGGGGCCGTCAGGCGGGCCCTGCACAGCCGGGGCCCCTTGCCCACACTCACACACCTACCTTGTCACCAGCTGCACCCGTGAGCACAAAGGTGGAGAAGACCGGCACTGGGTACTTCGTCTGGGTAGGCCAGCACTCGATAGTGGCCCCCATGGGCAGGCAGAAGACAGGCACTGACTCCGGCAGTGGGAACGCCTCATTGTCCTCCTCAGGGTAGCGGCCCAGCAGCTCTGCACCCCCGGCGAGTAGGGGGCACCCAAAAGGAGAAGGAACCATCAATTCCAGGCAAAGGAACCACGGGATCCCAGAGAAGGCCAAGTGGCAAAAGGGAAGTGAGTTCCGGGGACACTGGCAGTGCCAGCCAAAAGGCGCCAGGGCAAGAGGGATGTGGAGGGCCGAGGGTTTGGAGGGTCAAAAGGGCTACTCACCTGCCTCGTACACCAGCGTGTTGGCCTTGGCCAGGCCCACCTTGTAGCACAGGTACACTGCTGGGCCCCACTGCTCCAGAAATGGCAAGAGATGAGCAGATACACAGCTAACAAAGGTGTCCGGGGTCCATTTTCTCCACCACCCCTAAGTGGTCTTTTGTCTTTAGAACTCCCTCTAATCCCAGTTCCCCAAGACCAGTCCTCCCTCTGGGCCCACCCCTGCCATTAGAGGCCTTGGGCCTAGGATGCCCTTGTGCCCAGTGCCCACACTCTCACACTGAGATGGTGCAGGTCTCTGCGCTCGGCCCCGGGCCCACTCACCATGCCAGGGTTGAGGTTGCGGGGCAGTCGGCAGTAAGTATGAGGAGTGCCCTCGCCCTTGCTGGGCAGCACCAGACAGAGGTCAGTGATGCCCAAGGCATGCAGCCCCGCCCCTTCTGCTGCCCGTCGGTAAGTGAGGTAGGTGCGGGGGTGCCCAGGGCCTGGAGGGGCCAGGTTGGCGGAGTGGCTATAGGGTGTTGTGTCCAGCACTTGGAAGCCAGGCTTGGGACGTTCCTTCCCCTCATACAACACCCTGGGCACAGAGAGCAGAGAGATTTCGAGTTTGGGGCAGAAGAGAAAGACCCCAGTCCTGCTAGACCTGCCTGCCCAGTCCTACCCCCCTGCCTAGCACCCTCAGCCTCATCAAACCCTGACCCTAGGGCTCACTACTTGCTGAACTCTGCCCTCCAGAATCCTTGCCCCCTTCTGCCCCTGGCTCTGCTTCTCGGTCAGGAACAAGCCCTCAAGCTGTTCATGTGCTCATACTCATTAATAAATGCTAAGAAAGGGCCGGCCAAGTGGCGCGTTGGTTAAGAGTTGGCTTGGGATGCCAGCTCTGAGCAGCAGGACCCGGGTTCGGATCCCACATGTGGGCCAGTGACGCTGCGCCCTCTACAGCTAAGATGGTGAACAACAGCTCAACCTGGAGCTGGGCTGCCGTGAGTCGCCGGCATTGGCGTAGGCTGCAGCCCCTGCTGCAGTGGGCTGCTGTAAGCTACCGTGAGTGGCCGTCAGCCAGCGTGAGCGGCCAGCAGCCAGTGTGAGCTGCCGTGAGCCACCGTGAGCGGCCGTCCAATGGCCGGCGAGCGACTGCCTCACCCAGGAAGAGCACAGTGATAATACCAACATAGTCCAGTGAAGTGGCGCCCTCCACAACTAGACTAAAGAACAAAAGGGCAGCAACTTGTCTGTTCCCCTTCCCCAATTCCCCAACGCTGTTCCCCTCCCCCAATTCACCAATAAAATCTTTAAAAATAAACAAATAAATAAATGCTAAGAAAAAAGCTACCACGTACTGACACTGTGCCAAGTCTGTTCATTTATCTCTGAACCACCTTATGAGGATGTGTAATTTTTCCCACTTTACAGATGAGGAAACAGCCCAGAGGGGCTCAGAACCTGCCCAAGACCACACAGCTGGTGAGCAGCAACACAAACCCAAGTCAGTGTGAGGACTAAGACATACAACTTCTGTCCGTTGTCCCTGGCCTCTAGCCAGCCCACTGTCTTCCCATTCCCACTGCCCATCCTCATCCATACCCCTACCTCTCCCTGCCTCACCCTGCAGTCCCTCCCAGCCCACCCTGGTGCCAGCATGGGTAGGGGCACACACCCTAGCTCCACGAGGGGGGGCTTGTCACGGCCCCTGCGGTAGCAGATGACGGGCTGAGTTCCACCCAGGAGCCCGGCACTGAGTTCCAAGGGGTGGCCCCCGGCAGAAGACTGGATGCATGTGTAGCCCTGGGGCACCTCCTCGCCCAGCGCCCTAGCGATGACTGCCACATCTGTGATGGGCTCCGCTGGCCGGGGAGGGCGCAGGGCCCCACTGGGCTCAGGAACCCATGTTTCCTCAGGGATGGGTGCTCTGTTCCCTGCAAGCCCAGCTATCACGAAGTAATCCACCAGCCGGGGGGGCCGCTCCTCCGCCATGGCCCCCTCCTCACTCACTGCATCTGGAATGGTCAAGTTGGGGTGAGATGAAGCAAGGAAGGCTGACATTGCCATGGCAACCAGGGTGCCCCCTGTTACTCCCCTCCTCTTCCTAGTCCTTTCAAGGAAAGGCAGGATCAGTGGTCGGCCAATCCTGAACTCTCCCGCCTGTGACATCACCAGGCCCTCACAGCCCACCACAGCTCCTTAAAGAGACCAGGGCCCTCTTTCAGTAGTACCAGCCCTCCCCTCAGAGTACCCCAACTCCACTCCACAACACACAGCTAACCTGGGCTGATGTCCCATTGGTCCTGTATCCCTTTTAAAGACCCCACCCCTTCTCACTCCCTACACAGTTATAACAGGTCAGTCTTTTCTGTAGCAGCAGGAAATGACATCACTCATTCTGGCCATGACGTAATGCCATCCTTACAGTCTTTTTAAAGGTTTCGGACTTTCCTATTGTAGTTATGACAGCCTAAGAACTGCACGAGCCAGATAAAGTTCTCAAAGATTCCACCTCTAGGTTTTTGTGAGGATCGCCCCCCTGCTCCCGTTTCTAGGAAAGCCTGCAAAACCCGTTTTAGTGTCTTTTCACCAGCCTCAAGTGTCCTTTTTCCTCACCTAATTCCACTAACCCAACAAAAACCCAGTGCCCGCCCACCTCCAGGACCCTTGGGTATCCCCAGTGGGGACAAAATTGGCGGGGAGGGACAGTCCCGGCCATCCCCATGCCCTCCTCCACGGAGCCCAGAGACAGAAACAGGCCCACAACGGGCCTTCAGTAACTGAGTTCTCACCTGCCTCCATGGCCCAACCCCAGAGAGTAGGAGCCCAAGGGTCCTGGGGAGCCCCAGGGTGCAGAAGCTGGGCAAGAGCTTGGTGGGTGGCTTGCAGCAGAGGCGTGGGGGGCGCTTCAGAGGGAAAGGGAGGTGACTTCCTGGAACAGTGAAGGGGAAGCTGCAGCTCAGCGGAAGTCAGCCTATGTGTGTGTGTGTGTGTGTGTGTGTGTGTGTGTGTGTGTGTGTGTGTGGTGATGTGTGTGTGGTGGTGGTGGTGGTGTCTGTGGGCAGGGTACTGTTGAAGATATCAACACAGCATCATGCCAAGTGGAACTCCAGACTACAGGACCCCGAGCAAAGCTGAGGAGGCTCAGACTGGCTCCAGGATGTACAATCCTATTTAGCCTCCCACGCTTCCCCAGAGAAGGGGTCACAAAGGAACCTCATGGACAGGAGGGCTCTCTCATCAACCTGGCCCCAGGACACACAAACACACACATCCCGACTCCAGCTAAATTTAGCCTCCACGTCTGGAAGGTGAAGTCAGGAGTCAGCGTCAGCCTCCTGATTTAGCTCTGGGGCACAGCCCCATCCCTCATCCACTGCAGGAGAATGGGCGCCCTATGCCCCTGGCAGCAGGCAGGAGCCCTTGGGTGGGCCCCATCCGCAGGACCTGTGCACCCGAGCCTCCCTCACCCAGCCAGGGAAGAGCCCTGCACGAGGCAGCCCTTGCTCCCTGGGGAAGGCAAGGGGCACCGGCGCCACTCGGGGTCCCAACGCCCACAAGCCCACAAGGGAAGTTCCGGCTGGGGCAGAGGGCGCGCGGAGCGGGAGGCTGCTGAGGAAGGGGCAGCAGCGCGGGGGACTGGTGCGCCGGCCGCCGGGGACGTGACGGCAGCAGCGCCGGCCGTCGCGTGACCTGAGCCGGAGGGAGGGGGTGCTTCGGCTCCAGACCCGCGGGAGCAAGGGGGTGCAGGGCGCCGAGCACAGCTAGCGAACTCCCCTCCACTTTCACTTCCCCAGGAGAGAGGAACCGGAACCAGATGTGCTGCGTCGCAGAACAGCTGGGGGACCTCCCCCG